CTCCCCGAGGCCGGCTCCTGGCCACCTGCAGCCCCCCCGAAGCCCCGGCAGTCGCACCCCCGTTTCTGGTGGTCCCTAGCTGAAGATCGCAGGCAAATAACGAACCTGCAATTGCCTGGCAGAAAGGCAGCAACCCAGACGCCCGGCACTGGGGTGCAACCGCCTCTGGGGTGGGGCATGAAGACCCCTCACCCAGCACGGAGACCCGGCTCCTCTGGGGGCGGGCCTGAGGGCCGGTTATACGCAGACACCTTGCCCGGCGCTGAGACGCTGCCCCTCTAGGGTGGGGGCTGCTCAGGACGAACCGCCCCCGTTCCCTCTGAGCTCTGGCCCCTCCCTGTGCCCCCCCCAGCCTCACAGTTAACCCATCCTGGCACCCAGCCCTCTGCTCTAACCACTAGACCCCCACTGCCTTCCCAGAGAGGGGGAGAGACCCCAGGCATCCTGGCACCCAGCCCTCTGCTCTAACCACTAGACCCCCACTGCCTTCCCAGAGAGGGGGAGAGACCCCAGGCATCCTGGCACCCAGCCCTCTGCTCTAACCACTAGACCCCCACTGCCTTCCCAGAGAGGGGGAGAGACCCCAGGCATCCTGGCACCCAGCCCTCTGCTCTAACCACTAGACCCCCACTGCCTTCCCAGAGAGGGGGAGAGACCCCAGGCATCCTGGCACCCAGCCCTCTGCTCTAACCACTAGACCCCCACTGCCTTCCCAGAGAGGGGGAGAGACCCCAGGCATCCTGGCACCCAGCCCTCTGCTCTAACCACTAGACCCCCACTGCCTTCCCAGAGAGGGGGAGAGACCCCAGGCATCCTGGCACCCAGCCCTCTGCTCTAACCACTAGACCCCCACTGCCTTCCCAGAGAGGGGGAGAGACCCCAGGCATCCTGGCACCCAGCCCTCTGCTCTAACCACTAGACCCCCACTGCCTTCCCAGAGAGGGGGAGAGACCCCAGGCATCCTGGCACCCAGCCCTCTGCTCTAACCACTAGACCCCCACTGCCTTCCCAGAGAGGGGGAGAGACCCCAGGCATCCTGGCACCCAGCCCTCTGCTCTAACCACTAGACCCCCACTGCCTTCCCAGAGAGGGGGAGAGACCCCAGGCATCCTGGCACCCAGCCCTCTGCTCTAACCACTAGACCCCCACTGCCTTCCCAGAGAGGGGGAGAGACCCCAGGCATCCTGGCACCCAGCCCTCTGCTCTAACCACTAGACCCCCACTGCCTTCCCAGAGAGGGGGAGAGACCCCAGGCATCCTGGCACCCAGCCCTCTGCTCTAACCACTAGACCCCCACTGCCTTCCCAGAGAGGGGGAGAGACCCCAGGCATCCTGGCACCCAGCCCTCTGCTCTAACCACTAGACCCCCACTGCCTTCCCAGAGAGGGGGAGAGACCCCAGGCATCCTGGCACCCAGCCCTCTGCTCTAACCACTAGACCCCCACTGCCTTCCCAGAGAGGGGGAGAGACCCCAGGCATCCTGGCACCCAGCCCTCTGCTCTAACCACTAGACCCCCACTGCCTTCCCAGAGAGGGGGAGAGACCCCAGGCATCCTGGCACCCAGCCCTCTGCTCTAACCACTAGACCCCCACTGCCTTCCCAGAGAGGGGGAGAGACCCCAGGCATCCTGGCACCCAGCCCTCTGCTCTAACCACTAGACCCCCACTGCCTTCCCAGAGAGGGGGAGAGACCCCAGGCATCCTGGCACCCAGCCCTCTGCTCTAACCACTAGACCCCCACTGCCTTCCCAGAGAGGGGGAGAGACCCCAGGCGACCTGGCACCCAGCCCCCCCCGCCACTCTAACCACTAGACCCCCACTGCCTTCCCAGAGATGGGGAGAGACCCCAGGCGTCCCGGCCCCCAGCCCCCCCCC